TGAGGCAGAAAGAAACAATCTTTATAACATGATGAACTCCAAAATTCAATACTCGAGTGGATGTGATCACACTGATTTTGATACTCTTCCTGACAATGAATACTGCAACTCAACCATTCCTATCCATCCTATGGCACTCTATATTCCAAGTCTTCCCTTAAGCTCACCACAGAGGAGTCCATCCAACACACTAAAGGTCTGCCTTGCTTTCTCCTCACATCATAAGGATAGCAGGTGAGTACTTGGGCTGTTCATCTATTATCCTTTACACTTTCCATATAACCAGACCATCTCTTCTTCCTATCAAACATAATTTTAATGACATCTAAGGAATACGGGTGAATAGAGCTCTAGACCTAGAAGCAGAAAGACTTGAGCTCAACTCTGATCCCAGGCAATTATTAGCTGGGACCTTGGGCAAGTTACAACTTCTATTTACCTCAATTTCTTCACCTAAAAATGGGAATAATAGCACTTACTTCCTAGGATTTTATGAGGATAAAGTAAGGTAATATTTGTAAAGATTTTTTTAAATCTTAAAGTGCTATATAAATTCTAGCTCGGGGTGGAGAACCCGGGACCTCAAGGCCACATGTGGTCCTCTAGGTCCTCAAGTGCGGCCCTCTGAATGAATCCAAACTTCATAGAATAAATCCCCTTAATAAAAGGATTTGTTCTGTAAAACTTGGATTTAGTCAAAAGGCCATTCCCAAGGATCTAGAAGGCCACATGTGGCCTGAAGGCTGCAGGTTCCCCACTCCTGTTCTAGCTCTTCATTTTTTTTTTATCATCTTTTATGCCTGTTCATCAAAGTTTCTCCTTTGTTATAGCTGCTCATACCCACCTTGAACCTCTCTCTCCATTACCTTCTACGTGATATTCACCTTCAATTATTTTAAGATTATTGTGTTCCATGTCTCACAGTTTATACTACACTGGTAGAACTGGTATTAAACAGATGAGTCTTTTATTTCTGAGAAAAACTTTTGATCAATATAGGAGTTGTGCAATTTCCAGAAGCTATCCGGCTTGCTCTCTTCTTCTTGTTTAATTCTGGGTCCAGTCCTTTGTCCATTACATTGTCTGTGCCACTGGATAGAATGCTGGGCCTGGAGTTAGGAAGAATTGAGTTCAAATCCAGCCTTAGACACTTATTAGTATGTGTGACCCTGGGCAAGTCATTTAACCTTTTTGTCTAAGGTTCCTAAACTATAAAATGGGGATAATAACAGCATTTACCTCACAGGATTTTTCTAAGGATCAAACGAGATATTTATAAAGCACTTAGCACAAGGCTTGGCAGATAACAGGTGCTTTAATACATATTTGTTCTTGTCTCAGAGAGTCACAATGATAGATTCTCTATGTTGTCCATCTGTATATTATAATCTGAGTAATACCTTTCCTGTGAGGATGGTCATGTCAACTTATCAACACGTTTATTATCTACCTTGTGCAAAGCACTGAGCCAGGTGCTGGAGGAGGAAAAGACAAAAATGAAGCAGACCAAGGGCTTTTGAGTCACTGTGGATCTTTTCCAGTAGTTTCTGCAAAGTTCTAGGGCATGATGCTGTCTGCATACTGTCAATCACAAACTGGAGTATCTGGAGGACTTCAGCATCTACAGGGAATCTCTCTTCAACTTGAATTTTTTATTGTATCTTCTCAATCACAGTGGTGAATACATTTGGAGAGCACATGTCTCCTTTTTTATACCTCATCTGATGTTTATGATCAGAGGACAATTGAACAGGATAATTTCTGCTTTCATATCTTTCAAAGAATCTCGAATAATTTTTATGTGACTGGAAGACTTTCTGTTGGAACAGAGCTTTTTGTTCTATTGAAATAGACAACATCAATACAGGGTTTTTCATAACCCACAAAATATAAGCACAGTGGTATCTTCACTACATCTTTCAGTTAATTGAGAAATGGTAAATCTGTGGTTTTTTGTTGAATTATCACTTGAAAAAGCCTGCGCCGCATCAACAACATTCTCAATTCATGTATGCATGGGTCTCAAACATTTTGTACAGATGAGAAAGTATAAAAGGTCAATAACTCCTGATGTTTCTTCTCCTTCACTGTTTTTCAGTATTGTAATAAAAGTCTGAGATTTTTTTCCAACTCTTTGGTATCTTCCCTCCTTTGCATAGACTGAGAATTAATCCTTCAATACTCTCACAGCTGTGTTACTTCTAGCATAGATTTCCTCTACACGTGGTTCAATTTAGCTGCTTTTCTTGACTTTGTTCTCTTTAATGCCAATCTTATCTCCCTTATAAGTAAATCTGGCACTGTGATGTTAAAATCCAAGTGTGGTGGCTCTACTGTCCTTAAAGGTGAAAAGTCTGTTTTGTAAATCTTTGCTGATCTTTTCCATTTATCTTCTACTTGCTGTTCTCCTTCCATTTCTGTCCTTACATATCCTCAGGGTGACTTCAGTTAGTTGATATCCTTGCCAAGCTTTCTTTAAAGTGGTTTTACCTTCCAATGCTTCTCTCTGTTTAATGAGGCAATAATGCTCATAATCATTCACCATCCATCTTCAAAAAATTTTACATCTGAGTTTATATTCTAATACAGTGTTGCCTTTGGCTTCCATCTCTCTCCTTGTTGCAAGTAAGTCAAAACATTTAGCTGCTTTATGCATTCTTTTGGTCTTCTTGCTATGGCAATTGACTTACACAGATTAACTTTGGTATGAAATTATAATTGATGTTAATGTCATGTTTGTTGTCCATTACCCAGTCTTCATTATCAAATTTTTATTCAAATAATTCAAGACTGAGTTGTCTCAAATATATGCATATCTTTTTTTTTTCATTAATATTATTCTACCTAGCTTTTTATCTCTGATCTTTCCTTTAACAAATCTGTGGTCTAATATGGGGCAAGTTATTACTGTTGTTGTGTTTACTGAGTAATATTTTATGTCCCTGATTAGTAGCAACTTTAGGACAGTGATGAGTGAAACCAACTTTATTTCTTCACACACACACACGACCTGGGGCAGCTAACCCCTATCTCTCCCTACTCCAAAGGTTGTTATAAGTCAAGATGCTATGACACAGATCTGGAGCAATTTGACTTAAGTTCACTCCTGGATGGATCCAGTTGTGGGAAATGTGTATAGAAGGATCATTCCATCTACTGAGCAAGAAACTTGTGAGACCTTACAGAACTTCCTGGCAGGCTACTTTTACCAAGGGTCATAGAACATGTTTTCATGGAGGTTAGAGAAAAATTGTACTCATCTGTACTTCTGTTTAGTAAAATGAATGTTTATTTAAAATCTTTGACTCCAAGATGCATGAGATGTTGAACCCCTTTCCTGAGACAATTAAGAGTGGTAAGTAAGATCTGTTGCAATGATCTTAGTTCAGAAAAAATGAAGTAGTTGAAAGGACATTAATTCTCTGGCCCTCAATCAGCAGTCCAGGCATTAAAAGGAGCAGTGATCCCTGGCTTGTTGGCAACAGCCCAGGCAGCACTTACAGCATTGGGACAGAGGGGAAAGTCAGTAGTGCCCTAGTCTGTAGGCAGCAATTCAGATAGCCCAGCAATAGCAGGATCACAAGGAGAGCACCTTAGCCTAAAGGAAACAGTTCGGATAATAATGCAGCAATGTGGCTAGCACTGGCAACACTGAGATGGCGAGGAAGGCACCTTGGGTTCCAGGCAGTAAGTAGTTCAGATAGCACTGGCAACAGCAGGACTACAAAGAGGGCACCGTGGTCTGCAAGCAGCAATTCAGATCACACTGCCAATAGGAAGATCACAGGGAGGGCACCTTGGCCTTCAAGCAATAGCTGTTCAGACAGCACTGGTAACAGCAGGATTGTAAAGATGGCACCTTAGCCCGCAGGCAGCAGCCTGGAAAGCCATCAGCTGAGAGATAGAGAGGAGGACAATGTTCCCCTGCAGACGAATAGCAGTGGAGTGAGCAATAGTGATACAGGGGTCTGCAGACTGGGTATCACTGTAGGCTCTTACACAGTAGGCAGCACCATGAGTCCTTGTACATCAGGGAGCAACATGGAGTACACGTAGCAAGAAACAACAGGGGAATGATGATGGGCAGAAGATAAGAAGGATGATGAACAGCAGAGGAAGGAAGATGGGCAGCAGAAGAGGAAGGATGACAAGCAGCAGAGGAACAAGAGTGATGTGCAACAGAGGAAGAAAAATGGTAGGCAGCAAAGAAGGAAGGAGACGGGCAGCAGAAGAGGAATCCTCAGTGTAGTACTTTCTTTGCTGTTTCTGCTGTTGTGAGGTCCCCTCCACTTGGCTGCGAGGATGAAGGGGTGGTAATTTTTCTTTGAAGCTGACACCGGTGATCTGAGGAGTCAGGAGGTGTAGGTCAAGATTCTAGAATGCAGACTGAGGACAGCTTGAGTTAACTCCTCATCCTCTTACTTCCCAGGGTTGCAATAAGCCAGGATGATATGATACAAATTCAGGGCAGTGTGAATTAACTGTACCCCCAGTTGGATTAATCTGAAACCAGATGTGGGCCCTTTGGGCAATCAATATAAAGAAATGCTCTACTTAATGTCCCGGAATTTTCTGAGACCCTACAAAAATTCCTTGAGGACTGCTTTTATCTGGGAGTCTATAGTTGTGTCTTGTGGAAGACAAAGGAAAGCTATTTTCACTTACTTATAACTCAGTTTGGTAAAGGGATAGTTTATTTGATCCTCAGGCTCCAAGCGGTCCACTGAATTGGATATGGAAGCCCTCCTTGAATCATGTCTCACAACAGAAAAAAAATTTTCACCTAGAAATTTCACATTTGACTTGGTGTCTCTGAGACCCCATGATTTAGGATTGCCAGGGTCAGTTTCAACCCAAACCCAAAGGCGTAGATAACATTACTCAAAGGCAGACTAAACAATGTTATTTAAAATATGGAAATTCCTTTCCTATATAGTACTTTCAGAAGAAACATAAGCATAAGCAAAGTACATATAAATTTAAAATGTTACAATACTCACCCAGGTGGAAGGGGACCTTGATTAACTGTATTGAGCTGTTGAGAAGCAGAATTCACTGGCTGCACTTGTCTAGAAGTTGGGGGTGTTGTTAAAGCCACGGTGGTAGGAACTGCTGCTCCAGCTGTTGCTCCTTCAGGAATTACACTCATATTTGTTGATGGTGATGACTCTGTACTAGACACAGGAGTTTCAGAAGGTGCAGATGGAGAACCATTGACAGATGCTATAAATGGGTTAGGTGACAAAATTTTAAAAGGTGTCATTACTTAATTTTTTTTTTCCAAATTGCGAGTACAATTTTGATTTTTTAAAAGTTGGTGAAGCCCAAACACAAGCAAACTCGTTGAAAAGTAAGTGACCCAAAATTCACAAAATGAATCACAGGATTACAGGTCTGGAGCCTGAAGGGATCTAAGAGGCCATATGGTCCAAATGCAAGGGCAGGGAATATGTTATTTTCCCAAGGTAATAGTGACAGGATTTGAAACCAGCTCCTCTGAACTCAGTGCTCTATCTACTATATCAATCTACACACACACAAAAAAAATTGAAAGTTTATTTGATATACAAACCTATACATGCCTCCAAATCAAGATTTCAATGGAAAAACTGTTACAGGCCTTTCTCATTTTAAAATGTGATCATTCAGGATGTTCCAATGTATGTTACTTGTCATTTACTCATTCTACTTTAAAGAAAGATAGGAGAAAAAAGCCAACAGATGGGATTATTTGACCTTCTGTGGTGTTGCACCAAGTTATGGATTATAGAACCTCAAAGCTAGAAAGGATCTGAGGGAACTTCTAGCCATTTTAGCCCCTTTTAGACTTTTTTAGTCCAAATGGAACCTGAATAGTAATACCCTGTACAACATTAATTTACTGAATCCAAAACCATGGAGTACACCTTAGCAAAAGGTACCATCTACACTTTAACCATGAAGACATAATGCAAATGCATTTGTCACCTTGCTAGCTGTAAAAATTTCAATAGCCCAAGAAAAAGTGATGGAAAGGCTATCAAGTATCTCATGATCATGTATGGGAAGATCATCCTTGTCAAAAAATGCGAAGGGACAAATGCAGCCATGAAAACACTCTAAAAATAAGAAATGATAGTTCTATTGATGCTCACCTGAAAAGCAACTTAAAATAGAACAAAATAATAATCAAGATCATTATCATCAAGTTATACCATTAACAGCTAATCTTTCATTCCTCTTTTTACAATACCAACCTGGTCTACGAGGGGTGGGAGGAGGTGGCCGTGAAGGTCTTGGAGGCCTAGGAGGTTTAAAACCTCCATTTGTGAGTGATGGAGAGTTACTGCCATCGACCTTCCTATTTTCACCGGGTCCTGGTTCCTCAGCATTTTCAGGTCCATCTGTATTTGATCTAGGTGATAGGTAAGGAACAGAAAAGAAAAAATAAATAATTCTCTCTAAATCTTACCAAGTATGACAGGAACAAAATCTTATGTCTCTACAGGTAAGACTCCTCATTTAGCCTTATCAAATATATATTTGGACAGTTTTTATATAAACAAGGCTTCTTATAAACATATAAGCCAGGTTTCTGGTAAGAATACCTTATATGCAAAATGAGCTGAGTGATTTTGATTAAATGCACATACATAATATATGTACAGTATATACATACTATAGTTTATACATAGTAATATACAAGGTGTTCAAACAAGATAAGAGACCTTCAACTTAATTGTAAGGAAAAACTATTTTTCATTAACTCAGTAAACCTTGAACAGTATTACCTGGAGGCAGGCAAGGGCAGGAGAGCTGTTAATATTAAAGTAACAAATTGGGGAACAATGCTCATAACAGCTGAGCTCCCCTACTAGCCATGAATCACACAAGCAAAAATTAGAGAACAAAATATGGTAAGCTATAGAGAAATGACGAAAATAACTGGCTTGGAGATCTACCTACAGATTCTGATCTAATTGATATGGATCCTTAAAATAACAAGAGAAAGTAAAAATGGATTATACAGGAAAATCAAGAAACATAATAAAAAACGAAGCACAGCATGATGGAAAAAAGACAAGTGCACACTCACAAGGGCAGCCTTAGCTTTACTAACTAGTTATATGACCCTGGGCAAAACACCATTTCCCTGGATTCCAATTTCTCCATTTGAAAACTGACAAGCTGGATTAATTTCTATCTAGATTTAAAATTCTATCACTCTATGCAAATAAAGTGACTACAATGTCCATTCTTTGAATCAGAACTTCCTTCTTACACCCCAAGGAAGTGATCGATAAGGAGAAAATCTCCATATATACCATAACATTTATAGCAGTACTTTTTGTGATGGCTAAGATGCCAGCTAGGTGGTGCAGTGGATAAAGTGCTGGGCCTGGTGCCAGGAAGACTCATCTTCCTGAGTCCAATCTGGCCTCAGACATTTACTAGCAATGTGACCCTGGGCAAGTCACTTAACCTATTTGTCTCAGTTTCCTCATCCGTAAAATGAGCTGGAGAAGGAAATGGCAAACCACGCCAGTATCTTTGCCAAGAAAACCCCATGGGGTCATGAAGAGTCAGACATAACTGAAAAATGACTGAACACAAGAATTGGAAACAAAGTAGATCCCTATCCATTGGGAAGGGCTAAACAAACTGTGGTATATGAATGTAATGGAATACTACTGTCTATAAGAAATGATGCATACAAAGAATTATAGAAAGATCTACCTGAACTGGTGCAGAGTGAAGTACATAGAGCCAAGAAAACAATCTACACAGAACTATAACAAATGTAAAAGGAAAGAACTACACACCAAAAAAATCAAAAGTAAATATAATGAAATTATAAAGATCAACCAGGACTTAAATGAAGCGCTATGAGGGGATACTCCTAATCCACCCCCATTTTGTGGAGATGGGAGGTTCATAAGAGGTCCATAATTATCCCCACTCTTGCATGTATTTTCAGACTTTTTTTAATGTACTGATCAGTTGTAGTGGGTTTTTTTCCTGTCTTCTCTAAAAAAAAATACTATTTGTTACATGAGCTGGATCTCCAGGAGGTGGAAGGAGAGGAATATTTGGAATAACTATAAAGACATATGAAACAGAAGTGAACAATAAAAACTTATTTTAAAAATTGTATCACTCTAACTTTGGTAATAAAGGCTGATCAGGGAAAAGGACAAAAGACTGGATTTTTAGATGTTATGTGAGGAAAATAAAATATACTGTATGGCTAATATAACAGAAAAGTCAAAGGCGTGTTAGAAATTGGGTTTAAAAAAAAGCTTAGACCATCCATCAAAAACTTCCTCTTCTCCCCTCCTCATCTTACATCACTAAAGTGTCTTCTATCACTTTCTCATCCACATGAAATGGTCTTTCACCATGTCAAGTTTACCCCTCTGCATGCACAAAGAATCCCAATCTATCCTGTCTTCTTCAGCAGACTTTTCTACCACATCTACTCTCTTAACTTATCTTCAATCTATCTCTGTCCACTGGCTGCCCTCCTACTTCCTATAAATATGTCCATGTCTCCCCCATCCTCAAAAAAATCCTCCCTTTGATCTATCTATTCTTGTTAGTGACTGCCTTATATCTCTTTCCCCTTTTGTGCTAAACTTCTTGATAAGGCCATCCACAAACAATGCCTCCACTTCCTTTCTGCTCACTCTCTTCCTTAACTCTGCACCTGACTTCCAAGATCATAATTCAACTGAAATTGCTATCTCCAGAGTTAATAACAATCTCTTAACTGTCAAATGTAATGGCCTTTCCTTAATCCTCATCTTTCATGATCTCTCTGATACATTCATCTCTAGTTTTTTGTGACACTATTCTTTTCCGGTTCTCTTTCTATCTATCTGATTGCTCCTTCTCAGTCTCCTTCACTGGACTGTTCATGCACATCAAACCTACTAATCATGAGTTTCCCAAAAGGTTCTGACCTGGTCCATCTTCTCTTCTCCCTCTATACTTTTTCACTTGGTGATCTCATCAGCTCCCAAGAATGCAATTAACATCACTATGCAGATGATCTTCAGGTTTTATTTGTTCAGCCACAACCTTTGCTGACCTTCACTCTTATATCTCCAACTGCCCACTGAACATTTAGAAATGGATGTCTTATAGATGTCTTAAACTCAGTATTCCAAAATTGAACTCATTATCTTTTTCCCAAAGCCCTCCCCCTTCTTCCAGACTTCCCTATTACTGTTAAGAGTGCCACCAGCCTCCCAGTCTCAAAAGCTAGGTGCCACCCTCAGTGCATTATTCTTACCACCCCATAACCAATCAGTTGTCAAGTCCTGCTGTTTCTACTTTTGTATTATCTCTTTATACGTCCCCTTCTCTTCTCTGACACTGCCACCACCCTGGTTCATGGAAACCCTCATCAGCTCATGCTTGGACTACTGTAATAACCTTTTGGTTGCCCCCGTCCCCCCATGGTCCCCCGCTCAAGTGCCACCCTTCATCTGTCTTACAGTCAATGATCAAACCGAGCTTCCTAAAATATAAGTTTAGCCATGTCACTCTTATATTCAATCAACTCCACTGGTTACTTTTGCCTGCAAGATCAAATATGCAATTTGCTGTTTGTCATTTAAAACCCTCTTTAACCTGATTCATTCCTACCTTTCCAGTGTTCTCACATTTTACCCTTAATTTCCCACCATATCTAGCGATTCAGTCAGTCAATAAGCATTTATTAAGTGTATATTATATACCAGGGACTGTGACACTGACCTCCTTTCTGTTCCTTACACTATATACTCCATCTGCTGACTAGACATTTTCACTTGCTGTCCCCCATCTGAAACTCTCTCCCTCTTCATTTTTACCTCCTAACTTCCCTGGCCTCCTAACTTTTCCTTCAAGTCTAACAACCACAAGAAGGCCCTCACTGTTACTAGACAATCCTTCTATAGCTCTTATCAACTCATTCCATTCTCCACAGTAGCTCTTCCAAACCTTTTCATCAGTCCTCAAACTTCCCATGACTCCCTCTCCTCCCATCCTCTTAGCTGCGAACCTCGGTCTTAAGTTTTACTAAAAAATAAAAAATGAGGTCATTTGCCATGAGTTCTTCTCCCCTCATCTCGTTTCACCCAGAAGCATTCTGCTACTAGCTCCTCCTTTTACCTGTCTCACAAGAAGAGAGGGCCCTACTTGTTGCCAAGGCAAACCCCTCTACTGCATAAGTGATTCCCATTCCCAAGATTCACTCTCTTCCAATGGAGTATACCCTCTGTCATCACTATTCTCTCATTTATCTTTAATCTCTTCCTTTCTACTAGTTCCTTTCCTATTCCCTACAAATATGTTCATGTCTTCCTCATCCTCAAAAAACTCTCACTTAATCCTTCTATACTCACTCTCATCCTATATCTCTTCTACATTGTGTGGCCAAGCTCCTTGAAAAGACCACCTGCGATAGATGGCTTCAGGTCCTCCTACTCTAATTCTCTTCTTAACTCTCTCCAGTCTGGCTTCTGACCTCATCACTCAACCAAAACAGTTCTCTCCAAAGCTGTTAATGGCCTTTTCTCAAACCTCTTTTTTCTTGACCTCTCTGCAGCCTTGGATGAAGTTGATCTTCCTCTCCTTGATACTATCTTCTCTCCAGGTCTTCAGGATACTGTTCTTCCCTTGTTTCCCTCCTACCTATCTGACTACTCCATCTCATTCTTTTCTTGCTGGATCCTCATTGAGGTCATATCCACTAATCCTGTCCTAGGTCCTCTCCTCCCTTTACAATACTTCACTTGGCGATCTCATTGGCTCCCATGGATTTAATTATCATTTCTATGCTGATGTTTCTTGAATCTACCTATCTGTCCTAACCTCTCTGCTGACCTGAGTCTCACATCTCTAACTTCCTTTCAGACATCTGGATGTCTTATAGGTATTTTAAATGCAACATGTCCAAAACTGAACTCATTATCTTTCCCCTCAAACTATCCCCTCTTCCAGACTTCCCTATTACCATGGGGGGGGGGGGGCATAAAAATCCTCCCAGTTTCCCAATGTATTATCTTCAACTCCCCACTATCTCTCTCTCTCATCACCCATATAGAAACTGTTGCCAAGGCCTGGTGATTTCACCTTTGCAACATCTCTCGAATATGCCCTTTTCTGTCCTTTGACACTACCAACACCCTGGTGAAAGCCCCTCATCTTCTCAGGCCCGGACTATTACAACAGTGTGCTAGTTGATCTGCCTGCCACAAGTCTGTCCCCACTCCAGGCAATCCTTCCTTCAGCCACCAAAGTTATTTTCCTAAAGTGCCGTTCCAACTATGTCACCCTCATATTCAATAAACTCTAATGGATCTCTATCACCTCTAGAATTAAACACAAAATCTTCAATTCGGCATTCAAAGCCTAGCCCTCCATCCC